TCACAGGCTTACTAACCTAACCTAACAATAACTTTATACCGTTTAGTTTTACGACTTACAAAGTAAATATAGATCACGTTTCATTACTTACATGACCGTGTACAGGAATTACTTTGAGTGGATCATTGTTAAATTGGCACATAAAACACTTAAAAAAATCTCGCGTCTTCACTGTGATGTATACTTCACTTTGAAAAAACTGGTGATTAACCATATTAATACATACATACATACTGGTCTACAGTATTTCAGAACTGTTCCAAAGTTGTATATCGGTAAATGTTCGTCTGAATGTTTCAAATAAAGCATACATTTATAGTAGCCGTTCTTCCAATAGTTTTGGGTATTGAAGTGTGACGTATACTTCACTTTGAAAACACTGGTGATCACCATATTAATACATACAAACTGGTCTACAGTATTTCAGAACTATTCCAAAGTTGTATATCGGTAAATGTTCGTCTGAATGTTTCAAATCAAGCATACATTTATAGTAGCCGTTCTTCCAATAGTTTTGGGTATTGAAGTTAAAAAGTTGGATTTTTTACTGACAGAAATCCTTCCTCATACAGAACTTCCCTGTGAATTATAGTTTAGGGTGGGTTATAATTAAATATTTACAAACTGTTAGTATGACATCAGTTAGGAAAATACTACTGAAGGAAACAGACAAGACTCAATATCCTAAAAGTAAGTGTATGAATCATGCTAAGAATTTGAGACTGGCTCATTTGAATGTATTTAAGGCACTATGAATCACTACAGAAAATAAATGTTCTAACACTCGCATGTTTAACTGAAAATAGATAAAGTACAATTTATTTGATGCCGAAATGGAACGTATCCAGATGTAACTCGTGATGTTTTATATATTAGCCAAAACTCTTGGGGATATCTTGTAAGGATGTGAAACAGTGATATAGTTTTGGCTAATTTGGTTCCCCAATGTTGTTGCATGTTTTGGTGCTCAAGCAGTGAAACTTGAATGTCAGATTGAGGTGACTTACTTTTGCATGATGACATCCTGGTAAATGATGCGATCCGTCATTTCAAAGGCCTTGACATCAAGAAGGTAAATGTTACCTCCCTCGGTACCAATCAGGAGGTGTTGTCCGTGAGACTGTAAACAACAGCTGGATATCTTCTTCATGCTACGGGGGCAGAACAAGGCAGCATTACCTCACGTACTCTCTTGGGAAAAAAAAAAGGATCCTAAACTAGTTCATTGATAAAAAACAAAAAAAATCTAACTTGTGTCACCCAAGTGTAGTTAATGCAATATACAAATGTCAGCTAGAAATATGCTATTATTGAAAATGACTGATTAAAAGAACTTATAGAATGATTTAATAGGAGTGAACGAAACAGAAATACTAGTAAAAATACTCAACTTAAATGTAAAACTAAGTCTTTACAATGTGAGCACACTTAATAATCTTTATACAAGTTGTACAGACTACATTTGGAATTATTATTTAATAAAAACGTATTCAGTAAAATATTGACACAGTACAGTCACATGTATGTTTAACCCCTTCCAGTTCCTAGGGTAAAAAAAAAATACTTCTTTTATCCTTAGAATTTTTTTGTTTTTAAATGTTCAAAAAGTTTAATTTCATATATTCAAACACTTTCATCTGGATTAGTATTTGCTAACATTTATTTGATACTTTATTTTACATATTCCAGTAGTCACCACTTCCAGATATAATTCATAAAAACTGCAGAAACTGGAAAAAGTATCTGTCAACAAGAACCCGCCCTTTCAAAATAGCATTACGTCATACTATAACACACAATACTAGTGTTGCTGTAAAAGTCAGATAACTGTTCCCGACTGCCTTTATACTTACTCACCTTGAGTACATACACTAAATTAAAGCATGATAGTGATCCATTACTTTTCTCTTACCTTCCTTCTAAAGAACATGATTTCACCTCTATTAAAGATGGCTCTCCATCAGTTGTGTTTAACTCCCACAGGTGAAGAGAATTATCATCACACAAACTGATAAGGCGACCCTAAAAAACAAAGTTTTTTTGGTAATTTGTAGTTAGAAAGCTACAATTACTTCATAGCTTACCAAAAAACTTGATTACAGCCACAGAAATCAAGAAAGGCTAATATATGTTTTTCTGGCAGCCTTGTTAAACCCTAGCCTTTGTTTTGAATACCACGTATACAATCAGAATCTCGAGACAGTCTCTTCTAAAACACTATGATCTAAAGTAATATTCTAATACACTTAAGAAAAATTTGCCCAAAATGTTCAATTTTTATACTCTCTCTCGGTACTGACAATAAAGGACACTTTACCAGATTTATCAGTGTAGAAATTAGTCCTAGGGATGATGCTCAAAATTAAATTATGTTTCAGAACTGTACAAAAGATCTATTTAAAAACAAAATGGGTACAACCAAGATCTTACAAGTGAAAATAAAGTATAATAATGACACAATGTCCACCATATCAAGTGTCAATGATGCCTTTTGCCCAACACTAAGACTCATCATACACCATGGATACAGACAAACAACAGAACTTGCTCCACTGAAAGATCGAAAGTGTTTATCCAATAAACACTTTATCATTCAGATAATCAGAAGCAAACTCGTAAGTATAGTTTTGTTTAAACACATACCATAGAGGCTGAAAGAAATCACAAGACAAATACTGAAAATGTTTATAACTGCTACATTATACTAGATCTAGCTAATGACAAAACTTATTTGTTTTCTCATACTGCAGATGACCGAGTATAAAACACGAAACTGGAGGTCAGGGTTCATTGATCAGATTAAGCTGTATAATAATAACCAGGCAGAAGTAAAGTTATCAAATAACTCTTAATAGTACATTCTACAGGTAGATACGGTGATCATTCACCTCTAAACAAGTTCAAACTACAAAATTATCAACAAGTTACTCAAATTCTTGCCAACTGCAACACTATAAACAAGATCACTAATACAAAAGAGAATGCTATACATACCTGATTAGGAATGAAGAAGAGATTGGTAACACAGCATTCTTCTCCGTGTTGTCCATAGAACTCTACTCCTGGGGTCCCATAACTGGTGGCTTAATGTAAGGCTTATCAATTCAAAATGTATTGCACATACATTTATGTACAAGAAAAAGTTGGCAAGATTCAAACATTGCCAACAACATCTTATACAGGGAGGGAATTATTTTATTATAATTACAAGTCTACGAACTTATGAGTGAAAGTAAAAAAGTATGTAATAACATGTCAACCGCAATACGTCTACTACGTCCAGCTTTAGTATGTAATAACATGTCAACCGCAATACGTCTACTACGTCCAGCTTTAGTATGTAATAACATGTCAACCGTATTACGTCTACTACGTCCAGCTTTAGTATGTAATGACATGTCAACCGTATTACGTCTACTACATCCAGCTTTAGTATGTAATAACGGCAATCGTATTACGTCTACTACGTCCAGCTTTAGTATGTAATAACATGTCAACCGCAATACGTCTACTACGTCCAGCTTTAGTATGTAATAACATGTCAACCGCAATACGTCTACTACGTCCAGCTTTGGTATGTAATAACATGTCAACCGCAATACGTCTACTACGTC